GTCCCATTCCTGGGCAGGTAGGCCTGGGCTGGTACCTGACTCAGGCATGGCAACGTGTCTTTAATCCCAGCAGGCAGATCTCTCTGGAGCAAGTTTCAGGAAAGCCAGAGTTACAGAGTAAGACTCTCCATTAAAAAATAATGATGATGATGATGAAAATAAAAAGACAGTTATCTGAGTGTAAGCCTGGTATCTGCGTCAAGCTCTTGCCTTGAGCTCCTGCCGCGGCTTCCCTCCTCCATGATGCACTATAACCTGTAAGCTAAAGTAAGCCCTTTTCCTCCCCAGTTGCTTTAGAAACAACAGCCAGCTCTCAGAAAGGAGGCAGAAGTGTGCAAAGGCCCACAAAGAACTATGACTGACTGGCCATTTTGTCTGATTACCCGCTCTTTAACAGAAGATCAATCAGTCACCACCACAGCTACCTTTAAACATTGCCCAAAACCATTCCCAAGAGAGACACCACCTGCCACCACCACACATACCCCTGTCAATGCTCAGCTGTGGTCCAACTAAATGTGGTTAGCCAACAAAAAAGGACCAACATTGCCATCTAAAGGAAGATGAGAGCATGGCAGCCAACAGCTATAGTCTTAAGATTCTGACAGTGCCAACACTGCCTCTAGAGGAAGATGAATGCATGGCAGCCAGCAACCATGGTCTTGAGAGTAACAATGCCAAAGGTGCCCCAGAGGATGAGGGCATGGCAGCCAGAGGCCTTGGTAATACAGTTCCATCTGGATCTTTGAAGGTTATCTGGGAAGGGAATGCCCCCTTCCAGAGGACCCATGAGCCATGTCCAAGCCCACCAAGTTAGCACTTTCAGCCCAAAGTCTCCGGGCTACTTCCTCATCTTCAGCCTCAGGAGACGGAGCCTTCTCTCTGAGTCCATCAAAGTACTTCCCAGAAACACTCTCCAGTTCCTCTGCCACTGCCAGGTACGTGCTGGGCTGGGCCGCCAGCTGGGGACTCTTGAACAGCAGCCAGAAGAAGGGCCCTACAATCAACCACAGAACATTCAGTCAAAAAAAGAAGGAAAGAAAGAGAGAAGAAAAGAAAATTCCCTGCTCTACTCCCCCAAAACCCCTAGGGATGGAACCTTCCCTGAAGCCCCACGGACGCACCTCCATGCCTTTGTCCTTGCAGTTCCCTCTACCTAAAGGTCCCTTCCCTGGCAACATTAAAAAAAAAAAAAAAAAACTCCAAACAGAGGGATGAGCACAAATCTGCCTCCTACAAGAAACCTCCCCAGGGTTTCCAGAAAAATGAAAACATATTTTTCCCTATTCTATCCTTGAAAATAATCTTTCTTCTCAGACAGGGACACATGTAGCCCAGGCTGGCCCTTAACTCACTATATAGCCAAAGATGATCTTAAACTTCTTATCCTCCTGCCTCCACCTCCCAAGTACTGGACAGCATATACCAACATGTTTGATTTTATGTGGTGCTGCAGATCAAACCCAGGGTTTTGTGACATGCTAGCCAAGCACTCTGTCCACTGAGCTACATCTCCAGCCCTCAATTTACTAAATATACTTCAAGGTACTCTTGGGTTAAAATTCTTGATATATGCCCACTATATGACTCTAAAGGATTATAAATACCAGTTACAATGTTCTATTGACTCAGACTACATTCTTCTCCTTTTATTTCTTCTCTCATACAATACATCCTAACCACAGTCTCCACTCCCTCCACCCCTCCCAGTACCCCCTCATTCCCTCCCCCAGATCCACTCCTCCTCCATTTCCTAACAGAAAAGTGCAGGTATTCCAGAGTTATCAACTGGACACTAAATAACAAGACGCAACAAGACTAGACACAAACCCTCACATCAAGGCTGGAGAAGGCAACTTAGTAGAAGGAAAAGGGTCCCAAGAGCAGGCAAAAGAGTCAGAGATACCCCCACTCCTATTGTTAGGAGTCATAAAAAAAAAAAAAAGCTAACAACTATAACATATATACAGAGGACCCAGCACAAAACCATACAGGTTCTGTGATTGCCAATCCAGTCTCTATGAGCCCTGCTTAGTTGATTCTATGAGCTGTGTTCTCAGAGTCCTCAACCCCTTTGGCTCCTACAATTCTTCCTCCCCCTCTTCTATGGGGTTTCCTGAACTCCAAGGGGAGAGATTTGATGGAGACCTCCAATTTCAGCTCTCTCCACCTAATGTTTGGCTATGGGTCAAACTACATTCTTGGTCAGGCACTGTGCAGTCAATCTATGGGCAATCTCCCCTCTTCTTCTCACTGACTATGAGGACAGTCCTATCATGGACCTCGCTATGCAGATAAGGAAACAGACTCAAAGCAACAAGCATGGTGATCTTAGAGTATCTGTGATCCCAGTACTCAGGAAGCAGAGGCAGGAGGAATGGAAGCTCATGGTTAAACTAGTCTACATATTAAGATGTTATAAAAACTGGGAAGTGTGTTTCCTGGGTAACTTAATTTTGAGTGAAGCTGAGGCTACCCTGTGTACAGCCTGACCCTAGAAATCAGCTCAAGGCTTATCCTGCAGGACAATTTTCTTATTCATCAGTGGGGCTGTAGCCTGCTTTCTGTTGATCTGAGGTCAGAACCACATAGAATTATGACTCATCTTCTACCTCAGGAAGACATGGGAAGGAGCAGAAAGAGGCACACACAGCACTCAGAAGGTGAAAGGGTCAGAAGTTTAAGACCAGTCTCACCCATATAATGAGCAAGTCCAGCCTACTCATTAAGGCCATGTTGAGGGGGAAAAAAGTCAGGTGTGATGGCACATTTATTTAATCCCAGCACGCCGAAGGCAGAGGCAAGCAGATCTCTGTGAGTTTGAGGCCAGCTTAGTCTACATAGCAAGTTCCAAGTCAGTCAGAGATACATAGTGAGACCCAGTCAGAGAGAGAATCAAAAAGAAATAAAGTAACCATCTCTGAGGGAAAGTCCTGGATCCCCAGCTAACAGGGCTCTGTGAGGGGATCCCAGGCTGGAAGGGGACTCACCAAGTGTGAAGCTGGAGAAGGCAGAGTTGTGCATGTCTGTATGTCTGCCCAGCTCTGTCCTGGCCACACCGGGGTGCAGAGCATTGACCGTCACACCTGTGCCTGGGAACAATAGAGACTGTCAGGTGGTAGGAAGATAGCTCAGCTGTTAAAGAGCTTGCCACACAGGAGGTCCTGAGTGTGATGCCCAGAACCCAGGTCAAAACACATGCCTGTGATGGTAATCCAGGCTTCTAATATCTAGTGAGTACTGGGAGGCAGATACAGGTAGATCCCCAGGGCTCACTGAAGCTAGCCTAGCCTAGGTGGTGAGCTCCAGGCCAAGGAGAAACACTGTTTCAAATAAAAAGCAACATGGATGGCAGCCAACATTGTCCACTGACTTACACACACACATACAGACCGCATGCATGCACACGTGCTCGTGCACTCATACAAACAGGCACACATAAAGACCAGGTTGGCCCCTTGCCGAGAAGGCTGCTGTAGCCACCACTAACTACACTCTGGGTCTTCGCTATCCTAGGCTGTTTCCCACACTTGAACCCACTTTATCCTCTGTGCTCTGAAGCCTCCATCTCAAGTTGTCTCCCCAGCACAGCAGCCCTGGAGGCATGAGAGACCCACATTCCTGGGCTCCACCACCCCCACCAGGGTCTGAAGCAGGGGACTAGAATGGGATCTAAGATGCTGCAGTTATGACTTTCTCCCAAGGGTGGCTGGCACTGCTGGCCACAGACAACTTTTGAGAAGCAAGAAGCCAGGGGAAGCTTCTTTATGTCTAACACTACATTCCTTCCATTGGAGTGGAAGGAACTGGGGAACCAACCAGGTGGATCCCTGAGTTCAACCCACTAGATGCCAGGAGCAACCTCTTACGAACCCAGTTGTGACAGGCATGTCTGCAAACATTGATGTGTTCCCTAGGGCCAAAACCACTCGCAGTGGACAACCACTGGCTTAGAACACCAGAGGCTTAGAAGGCTATCCAAGATAAGCATGTCTGATGAAGGCAGGCTGGTTGAGACCAAACAGCAATCATTACAACCACAATTTATTAGTGATGTCTGCCTCCAGCACTGGAAGGGGCCACAGCATGGTGGTACATGTGCCATCCATCCTTTTGTCTAAAGCTACTACGTGCCTTTCCACCAACCGCTCAGGGTTACAGAACTATTCCAGACGAGGAGGAAAGAGAAAAGATTGCCATGTGCACACCTTGCAGCCGGCGGCTCAGCTCCTTGGTGAAGAGGACAACAGCCAACTTGCTCTGGCAGTAGGCCGCCTTGGTGTCATACTTTTTCGTCTTCCAGTTCAAGTCGTCAAAGTCTATGTGCCCAGCAACATGAGCCAGGGAGGACAAGTTGATGATGCGCGAAGGGGCCGAGGCCTTCAGCTTGTCCAGCAGCAAGTTTGTCAACAGGAAGTGACCTAGATAAAGGATGACAAGAAAACACCATTTTCCCAAAATGGCTATTTTACTTTTTTAAAATATTTTTTATGTGTATGAGTGTTTTGTCTGCAT